ACCAGCTTGTGCAGCCAGTTACTCCCAACCTTTCCTGTCTCAGGAGCTTCATTTTGGTTTTATAACTCCAGGGACATTGTTTTAAGCAATCAGTTTTGTCTTGTCCTTCTGCAGGGGGAGGGATGGGGCAGAACTGGCTGGTTTGGTGTCACATCCCCCACCAAGTTTTGAATCTGCTGGTCCATTTCAACCAGACCTGAGAGAGGTCTCAGAAGGATTCTGTATTTGCAGGTTTCATGAATTTAGGCAGCCTCTAAATGGTCCCACTGCAAGGAGAAGCTGCAAGGGAAGCAGATCTCCTTTTTATACCCCAGGGTTTCCCTGCTCTCTTACACAGAGAGCCAGATTTCCCCATCCTTACTGTCATTTCAGAAAATGGAATTAAACTCCCACACGAGGAAAATCCGCATTTCTTCTTGCACATGCACATTCCCCTTCCAGCCCCGTGTGAGCATCCATTTTATATTGCTCCTGTCCCTTATGTCCAAACGTCTTGCAGCATTTAATTAAGTCTGCCCAGCAATGCAGAGCAGGCAATTGCTGTCATCTCCCATTCTCCAGGGGTGGGAGGCAACCCAGGCAAGGAGAAGTGATTTTACCCACAGCCACACCACGAGCCTGGGGCAAAAATCCACATCCTGCCTGTGTTACCTCCCTGCCCTCTTCCCAGTGTGCTGTGCCCAGCCCCTGTTTTCCCAGAGAACTGGCAGTGGCAGCCTGTCTGCTCAGCTGGATGAGCCCATCTCACCTCTCCACTCTTTGCCTCTCATGTCCAGCCTTGAACAACAAAGCTTCTTTTTTTTTTTTTTTTTCCTAGAAAAGATTTGTTTTTCTAGAACTGGCCTCAACTGAGCAGCATCATTAGTGAAAGGCCCGTGTCAGTGCCTCTGCCTGGCTGTTTGCATCAGGTATTCAAGTGCTCAGCCCACTGTTTTCTTTGCTTTGCCTTGTAGCTAAATAATCACTTTCTGAGAGAAGAGGAAAAGGACAACCCTACAATCTACTTCAAAGCAGTGGGCTGAAGCTGTTAACTGTTCTGTGGTAACAGGAATGTTTTCTGGTCTGAGCAGGACCCAGTCCCAAAGCCAAGCTGAGCTTCATCTGTTTTCCAGCCTTCCTGCAGTACCTCGTACCCAAAGCTCTCATGGCTAGGAACAACAACAAGGATAGTGATAATGAATATTCAGACACCCCACAAACCACTCTCAGCATCTGCCATCCTATCTGCATTAGCATCAGTGTGCACAGATAATGATCAAAGCAGCATTTTCCTGCCAGAGGCCCCCCTAAACCACCCTTATTAGTATGAATCGATGCTGATTAATGTGCTTCCTTAATGCAATTGTATCTACTCCTACTGTTCATGATTTAATAGAAAACATCTCCCCCTTTGCCTGCCTTCCTCCTAATACCACATGCAAGGTGCAAACCTTGACTGAGGGGACCAGGAAAATCAGTGGTCCAAGTTTTGCAAGAAGGAGACCCAAAGTCTGCTGAAATGAAACACAGAGGAGGGAACAAGCCTTTGGAGATTGTAGCAGGGAACTATTTTCCATGCTAGGATGGTAGATCTGAATCCAGGCATCCTATGAAAGATATCAGCAGCTATGAGGTTCTACAGCAATTCTGCTTATGCAGCATATAAAAGAGCCCTGATAACTGCAACAGGCTCTGTGCTTGCTGCTGGCACACTCCTGGACTTCAGCAGTGATGGGAGGAGGAGTGTTGCACAGTTTAGTTTGGTGGTTTTAACATCACCTGTAAACAGGAGGAAATGCTACATTTTGCCTTGTGCTGCTCTGAGCACTGACAGTGGCTTTGTCTCGGGGTTTCCAGTGTCAAGGACATGGTCCTGATGCACTGTGTCCATGTTCCTACACAGCAGGACACTGGGGAAATTACCACTAAACAGCTGACAGGGTTTCAGTTAGGGATGGGGGAGGCCCTCTGGCCTGACTTCACATCCTCTCCAAACCCTTGGTCGCTGTGGCTGCTTTGAGGTCTGCTATGAGCCTTGGGAGAAGAGCAGTGGTCAGGTGAAACCTCCCTCAACAAAACCACAAGTGCCCCAAGGAACTGTTTGACCGAGGGACACAGAACAAACCAGCTGACCAAAAAACATATGGGGGAAAAGGAACATTGGAAGAGAAGATTGCACAGAAAATTCCCCTGCTCCGCATCAGCTGCTTTTCTAAGGAAAGGAGTGATATCCTTAATGTAGAATATGTGCCTCCCTTGGGCTAGTCTAGTGCAAAGAGCAATTGAGAGACATCATTTGGTAGGAAAGAGGCTTCTGTGTTGGAATTAAACAGTTGACAAAATCCCAACAGCTTTACAGATTCTCGGAGTCAATTTAAGGAGCCCACAAAATGAGATTTTACCCCTGTGGGTTTCAGTAAAACGATATGTTCTGGGGGGTGTGCACAGTCCAGCTCTCAGCTGCCAGGACTGACTGTGGCTCCACTAATTCCCCACAGCAAGACTGACTTTGATACTCCTTCAAAAATGCAGGGGCTCAGTTTTTAAGTGACCAGTGCTGTCAAAAGGGACAAATATTAAAAACAACCAGCCCTCCAACATCCAACCAGACTCCTACCTGATGGCTCCATGTCCTCTGCTGAAGCACATAAGGCTTTCCCCTCCTCCTCAGGTGACCACACTGGGAGCAAATTAGTCCCAGAGGGTGTTTTTCCAAAGTGCTCATCTCCCAGCAGCTCCAACCAGGACACACATGGCTGGAGTTCCCCAATCCCTTCAACTCAGCACATGGTATTTGGCCATGAGATGTCCCAAGGTGCCCTTGCAGCCTTCCCCCTGCCTCTCTAAACTCTTTCCCTAACAATTTCCACTGGACTTTGTCTCATCTCCCGTTTCCTTTGTGAGCAATGACTTCTCCAGCATTGTTACCATCTGTGAGACCCTTCTCAGACTCCTCCTGTGCACACAGAATGCTGCTGCCTATTTTCTCCCATGATGGAAAGAGGATGTTGTGTCCTCCCCACGATACAAATGCCTTTCCTAAGTGCTTCAGCAATATCCAGGAGAAACAGAGAAAAACAGATCCCTTACCACTTCCCATGCATAAAGTTCATCCTTAACTGAGATAAAGCTTCAAATTCTTAGCAGTCTCCCACAAATCAAAAGGGAATTCGTTCCTCACCCTCTGACGGATAAAACTAGAAATCACAGGCTTCACATGCAAACAATTTTTAGCTCCTTTCTAAGAGTGGAGGTGGCAGAGCTGTGGCACAGGCTGCCTGCTCAGGGTGTGAATTCCCCATCACAGGAAACCTTCCAGGTTACACACAACCCTCTGTCAGACGTGACACAGGTATGTCTGAGTCTGCCCTGGGGAAGAGGCATGGAGTAAATGACCTCTCAAGGTCCTTCCTGACCCGTTTCTCCATGATTCTTAGAGACAGGATCCCAGGCTTGATGGATCTGTGGCCTGACCCGCAGTGACAGCCCGTGGATGTGTCTGAACACATCCATCGCGTGGGCTCCCCTCCCAGCCCATCCCTGCAGAGTGCTGTGCTGGCAGCCCGGGCTGCACAGCTCTTTAGCAAAGGCCAGAGCTGCTGCCAGGGGCACTGAGCAGGGCAGGGATCCGTGGCTTTGGTCAGAGTGTCTGTTGTCAGGCAGGGCAGGGGTGAGCTGGGGAGAGCCACAGCCAGGCAGAAAGGCTTTGCAAAAAAAGGCGAGTTTTCTCTGCTGCTCTGTGCAAGCAAAGGCCTCACTGTTAAAACCTCACTAGTGGAAGTCTGGCAGCAGAATTTCTAGTTTTTGGGGCTGTCTTCCCCCTGAGCTGTTTTGAATGAGGACAAGCCAGGACAATATTTTCAACCCTGTGCTAATCTCCCCTTGCTGGAGTGAGGGGAGGGGGTGCTGCACTCCCTGGAGGCCACAGCACAGGAACAACTCATTTTTCTTCCCCACACATAGATGATGCCTTGCATGTCTCTATTACTCTGCAAGTGCTTTTGGCTCCCTGCCCGTGGGAGGACACTGCCTGCACACATGTGGATCCCTGCTCCCCCATCCCCAGCCATCCTGTGTCTCATGTGCCAACAAGACTATTCACTGGCACTTCCCTGCCTACTGGTTTGCATGGCTGTGTTTGCAAGTGTCTTTCTGAAGCACAACAGGACTATATAATTATGTAAATGCACACATGTCTCTGAGAGTTTTGCAGTCTCTTTGGGTTTTAGCACAAATCTCCTGACACTTGCTGGCTTATTCCCCTTCACTCCAAAGCACTTGCTGCTTTAATGGGAGGTTCATGTGAGCACCCCGGCTTTTCATGTTAAAATGAAGGGAAAAAAGTGTGTTTCTGGATAGCACAGCTGGCAAGAAGAGCTTGAAACAAGCAGCAACAAAGGCTTCAAAACCTAGAAGGCAAAGGAAAATCCGAATTCTGCCTGTTTTCTGTAGTTTTTTAATTCTCTGCAGTTTTTTAAACCAAGATCACAGTCCTGTGAGCAAGTCCAACACATTTGGAGAGAAAATCTGCAAAGGTCTCTGGTAGGCAGCAGCCAGGTAAGGCTTATGCACTGCAGTGTGAGAGCTGTCACACTGATGTGTGCTGTGACATCTCTATGCCCATGTGAACCTGAAGCTATTGGCAGTTCACATGTATGAGTTTGGGCTGTCCAGAGCTTCATTGATTTGAAAAACCTGCTTGTGAACCTGCCTGTGAACTGTCTGTCACCGCAAATGAAGAACACCCACACCCTTAGTCCCTTTTTATCTCCGTCTACGCTGTGCACATTGCCATGACACTGCAGTGCTTTCATCTCACTATCAGAGCCCCACAGCCCAGCCTTTGAAGCAATTTGCTCTGCCAGCTGAGGACCACGGAGAACCAAGGGAGCGTTTCCAGGTGGAACAGGGACAACGATCCATCTCCCATGGACTGAGAGCCTGGAGCCCAGGGGAACTGGCTGAGTTCCCACCACCAAACAACTTCTCCGAGCCACGGGCGGGGCGGGGAATCGACATACCTGTATATTTTATATCTGGTTGTAAATCCTTGACGATGTCTTTCCACAAAGGATAAGTAGCTCCGTGAGTGGTGGAAAGGCCCCCTGTCTGAAATAAGCCAATCAAACTCCTTGGAGACATGTTGGTTGGTAGCAGCTGGGTCCTGGTGGGAGGGCTGTACGAGTATATGGTCCCATATAAACAGGAGGTAGAGGAACTCAACAAGCCTCCAGTTCATGCTTTTCTGTCTGCCTTTTTCCTCTCATTCTTGCTCCATTCTGTGGAGTCCTGTTGAAATAGAGAGGGAATAGGAGGAAGGAGAGAGAGAGAGAGAGAGAGAAATGGAGGGGAGGAGAGGGAGGAGGGAGAGAAAGAGAGAGTTTAAAAATGGGAATTGCTTTGATCCTTTGACAACCGTCTCTCAGGGTGCAAATAGACAGGAAAAATCTAGTTTTAAAAGCCTTCAGTTTGCCTGTGTTACAGCTTAGAGTATTTGGCAGTTTTTTGTTCATGTGCCTAAGTGGTGCCTTTAACCTCCTGAGAACATATCACCTTTGAAATAATCAGGTCCTGACCTGAGCCATCCTCACCCCAACTTCTCCATCATTTCCCTCGTGAAGTTCTCTGCAGTGCTGCAAAGGCGAGTGAAGGCCGGGCACAGGAGGTGGCTGCACCCCAGGCTACAATTACCCCTTTATTGTCCCTTTAATGCTGTGCCAGAGAAACGTGTCTTCTGCTTTCATGTCTCTCTGATGATCTGTAATCCATACTCTGTGCAACCTGAGCAATCTATAAAGACCCAGCTCTCACTTTAAAGTGTTGCCAAAAAAAGAAATAAAACAAAATAATTACCCAGGCTCCAGCGAGGAGCACACACGGACACACAGACACAGACACACACACACAACCATGAAATCCTGCCAAACTCTGACAGATAAAAATGTCCTCAGCCTGCTTTCCAGCCTGGGTTTGGGGAGGTGTGTGCCTGGTGCAGCGGGATGGAGTCTGTTGCTATTTCAGTTATGGTGGGACCTCCAGGCTCTTCCCAAGATCAAGGCTCTGCAGGGTGACATATTTAACACGCACATTCAGTGTAGGAGGTTTACTAGGGAGCTTCAGGGGCTGCTCCACACCACCTGGAGCAGGGCACGCTGTCGCTGCCGTGGTGGGAGAGCGGCTGTCCCGCTGCACCCCCCGGCACAGCGCGGCTGAGGACAGCCCTGCCACGAGCCAGCTCCTGTCCCTGGCGAGTGACAAGACATATGATGAGTGGGAAGGAAAGCAGAGGGGTGAGGTGCCTTGCCAAAGGTTACTCAGCATGCCATGGATACAGCTGGAAGAGAGCCCTGGTCTCCTGACTCCCATTTCCAGCGTTTCAGCCGTTAGATCATCCGCCTCCGCAGTCAGGCTGCTGGCGCAATGCCCTTCCCTGAACAAAGCCATGTGCTCCCTTGGGGGCAGGTGAGGGGCTTGTTAACACCCTGCACCCAGTCTGTAACCCCCCACTTTCTTCTGAACCACAACCTGCTGGGTTGTGCTCCTAATTACTGGGAGCTGCTGGTGCTGCTTGGAAAAATTCCTCTCTCCACACTTGGAACCAGTTCTTCCTCCTGCCCCCTCCTGTCCTTCTGGGTTTTGTGGAGGATATGCCAACATAGTGTGCACACTTGGGCAGGCAGAGCGATCTTAAGGCTGCATCCCCCACTCTAGGAGCTCAAACCTGGCCAAAAGTTTTCCCTTTGGTCAGGTGATACCCAGCTATTTCTGTAAAACACGGTGTAGAGAGACTGCAGCTACTTTTTAAAGCAGGAGAAAGGCTATGCAGAGCTCTTCCACAGTGAGATTTAGTGTCAGGCTTATTTGTAACATCTCCAGAAACCCTTCTGAGTCCACCGTAAGCACTCCAAAAGTTTGCAATTCCCAGAGAGAAAAGGTTTTGCTGAGAGTGTAGGGGAGGCCAAACTGAGGTGCCACACACATTCCCACCCTGGCTGGTGTGAGCAGCAGAGCACAGACCAGAGGCCATCAGTGTTTCTGGTTGGTATGAACCATCTCCCATGCTCCAGGAACTTTCACCAAGAGCACAGCAAAGCTCCAGCCCACGGCAGTGAGTGTGCAAGTCTGCTGTGCAGGTAGATTGAAGCCCTGGGTGTGCCGGGGAGCACAAGAGCCGAGTGTGAGCCGGGGTGTGTGGGAGCCTGCACGTGTGCACAGCATGTGCCAGTGGAGCTGCAGTGAGCTCAGCAGCACTTGACAAGGCAGAATTGTGTAAGTCTGGTTAAAAATGACACTCAGCTGTTGCATTACAGGAAGAAATGAGAAAAAATTAAACATGGGGAAGTTTTTCTGTTTTTCGTTTTTTCTGTGTTGGCCACGTGTAAACTTCTTCCCAGTTGCAGAGGGAGTATTGCTGTTATTAAACCTGATGGGACCTGCAGCTCCTGGCTGAGGAGGTTGTTGCTGTTCTGGAGACATGTATTTAACATCAGCCTTCACCTGACTCCTACTTCGCCCATACACAGGACAGTTCTTGGTGCTTTAGTCCCTCACCTCACACAAAGGACTAGTTCAAGTCTACCTTAAAAAACAGGGGTTTGGGGAGTTTCCAGCCCCACACTGAGGGGATCAGAGCATATTCCAAGTGGGCTACAGTACACCTCTGCTTCCACTCACAGCAGTCATGAGCCTGAGGTGATTACTGGAAAAAGCTGCCATCTGCATCCCACCCTCAGGGTTTCCAAATTCCAGTTCAACAGTTTCTGCTGGCTCTCCACCCTTGCTGCTCTTGTCCCTCCACAGTGGGATGCAGCTGCCAGCTCAGCAGATTTGCCCTTAGCAGGATGTGCCATCACTGCTGATAACGATCAGGTGTTCTGCACATGTTGTCCAAGCTGGCTTGGTTGTCTGTTCATTAAACTCATCCATAACTACTTCCCTCATCAGCCAGCCTGGATCAGTTTTCCTTTAAATATTTCACTTTCTATTGAATTCCTATTCCAAAGAAAGGCAGGGAGCTCTTACACACCAAGGTGGAGTGACAGCCCCCTTCCAGTTCCCAGCACAGTGCAAGTGAGGACCGAACTATGGGAAGAGCCAAACAAAATGGGTTTCAGAGAAATCCCAGTGTGTCCTCCCACATGAGAACATCAGACATTGGGGAAATATCGTCTTGTGAAAGAAAGGAGATGTTCCCTAATTCCCCACACATACCATCTTCTTCCTCCCTTCCTTTCCTTCAGGCCACAGTCAGAATCAGGATGATTAGGGTTGTGATGGTACTTAACCAAGAGGTAAAACACGGGGAGAACATGCCTTGAGACCACTGGAAGAAGTGGCCACATCTCCAGTCTGGAAGCTGGATCAGTGCTGAGAGCAGGGAATGGTGCCTGAGGCAGTGGAGGATGGCAGAGCACAACTGGGTCCAGACTGCTATCACACCATCAACTTTAATTTTTTAGTAGTATCTTTTTTCCCCCTGTAGCTGCTGTAGGGATGTTGTTTCACATTAAACATTAATACACTCCACAGGGCTGGTCCCCATGGAAGCTATAAAGCTTACTAAAGTGGGATTATTTTGTGTCTAAGGCAATATTGTGAGGTGCATTCAATCTAACTCCTAACGAGTTTGAATCTGAAATTAATTTGTTAGGTGTCTTTATGGGGCTCCACTGACATGAAATATGTTCTGGAGATTTGCTAAAAAGGAAAAAGGGAAGAAGCAGGGAGGTGATGTCTCCAAGTCTATAACCCCTGGTTTGGAGACCCAAGGCGAAGTCTGGCACAGAAGGAATCTCAGCACTAAAGGGAAGGCTTGGGGGAGTCAGACACTGAGTTTTGATCCAGGAATCCAATGTTCTGCTCAATTCTGCTCCAGACACCCTCTAGAACCTTGGTCAGTGCCCTTGCATGCTTATTTTTGGCCTTACTTTCCAGTTACCAACATGGAGTCACAGCAGTATTTGTGTGACTGCTTGGACCATGAACTTGTTGGAGAGGCCAGAATCTGGTTGTAGCATCTACCAGAATGCAAATCTGCTGCCCACATGACTCACAAGGTGTTTCTGTCCCACGAGCAATGAATGACAACCATCTCAGCCAGCTTTGTAAGGCAGCAGTTGGAAAAATCCAAGCTAAAAAGCTCCCTTTCCACTCAGCAGCACCACAGAGCAATGCAGTGAGCTGGGGCCTTCTGGTTCATGTCAACAAACATGATCATGCAAATGTCACATCTGTTAACAAACATGAGCAGTGGGTGAGCCAGAACACGGGCTACAGTTCAGGGTAAATAAGTAGTGGGAGAAGAAAATGTTCCATGTGCTGATTCTGAGTCACATTCCAGTCATTTTCCAGCATCGTCCATCCCTCAGTGCAAATGGAGCTTCCTGTTACAACCCCTTGCAATTTATTAGGTGGTTTAAGGTGGCCTTTTTCTAATACAAATTCAGTCTGGAGCATTAAATGTTCCTTATCTTATGAGTCTTCAGGATTCTTGGAGGAAAAATAGGCAAGTACTTTCTGTAAAGTGCAAGTTGTATTTGAATGTACACTTAATTTCATCGTGATTGATATCTGTGTGTTAATTATATTCTATTTTCGGCAATACCTTTGCTGTCACAAGGCAGTGCCTTTTATCCAAGGAGTTCAAATTGAATTAGAGACATTAATTAAAGCTCTCAGCACTCTAGTAAGGCAGGCAAGTGCTGTTACTCCCATTGTTTCTTGAAATAAGAAGAAAAGAATAGAGCTGGGTGTCTACTTAGCCACTTAAAAGGTAATTTTTATACAGTGGGGTAGCTCAGAATGATAGATTTTGCACAAAATGATATTGCAAGGTCTTGTTTCATCTGGGGGAGTCTGTGCAGCCCCAGATCCCTCTATAAATGGACAGACAGGATGCAATGCTCTGACTCTCCATTGCTTGCTGTGAACACTCCACTACTCCACTACTCCTCTGCCTCCTGGGATTTTCTACCTTTCTCCCAACCTCTTCCCCTTTCATTTATCCCTTCTATTAGACTCAAATTGATCTTGCACACATCCCTTCTGTTTCCCCCATGCTTGTTGGTGTGAACTATTTCCACCAGAAATGCAGACCCAGGAAAGAGAAATTACTGAACATATTATTTGCAGTAAAGAAATAAGTCCCCTATCTCTTTAAGCTTCATGCACCAATAATTCTTCCTTGTGTCCCACATTTGGTTCTTGGCAGGTTGAGAGAGGCTTCTGCCTGCTGCCATTTACCAGAGGGAGGAGGCTAACAATTGCTATTTGTATCTGAAACACTTCTG